CTACAAACTGGACCATAGTAGATAAAGCAGCCATATCGTTCATAAGCATAGCAAAGATAACTTTTACTATTTGGTTATTATTAACGTCAATACCCCCATTTTTAAGACGAGATATTTATTTAGAAAGTTTTTCAAAAATAATATTAAAGTTTGGCTTTTGTTTTCCTATCCAAAGAGAAAGAAGAAGATTATTATCAGTACGAGTTCTAGAATATGATGGAAGTTCCAAAACAGCATCTAATATAGGCCATGCATTATAATTTTTAGATTCATAAAGAGGAATGCCGTCACTATGAATCATAACAGACATAAAAAAATCTTTATGAACATTTAGTATAGATTGATAAACATCACCTCTAACAACATCGTTTGCATCAGATGTAGTTTGTGTTCGTGCTTCATTTTGAAATTTTTCAAGTAGATCTATATTTTTATCAATTAATATCTTCAACTATTCAGCTAAATCGAATGAAACAATTCCAACTACATCATCAGATGGAATCTCCATTGCTTCATGAGTACAATCAGTTGTTGAATAAATTCCATGTGTTGATGAATGATAATACACGCCACATATCTCTTCTTATTCATATAATTTTCCAATACTGATATATTTGTTCTTATTTTGTATACGATTTACCTCTGTTGAATTATTTGTTTCAACAGAAACAAGATCATGATTATCTTCAGATAAAGAAATAGGATCTTGTTGCGGTTGTTTGTTTTGTTTCTGTTTTTGACTTTTACACTTTTCCCTCTTACGAATATCAGTAACTTTTTGTACGAGACTTGTTCGAATGGAAGCCCATATACTACCCATATCTTCCTCTTTAAAACCAAATCTTTGCCGTACGGCTCCTAGAAAAAATGATAAGAATATTGGTAAACTTTGAAGTAAATCAACAGATTCTTGTGGAATTGGAACACGATTTTCTGTATGACCAGAAAATCTGATAAACAATCTCTTGTAAATTCTGCATCTGGTAAAACAATACGTGCAGCTGATAATAAAAATCTACTAGCCGTTTTGCCACGTAGTGTCATCAAGTTGACTTTATTTACGATCTGAAAAGAAAACTTGCCATTCTAAAATAGATTCATTTGCACTTACTAAAGGTTAAGTTGGTAGTGATAGATTAGGTTTCTAAAAAAGAAAAATAGTGATAGCTAAAACCTTCCAATTAATTCCTTTAAATCGTCAATTTTTTTTTCTACTTGATCGAGATTTTATAGTTTTATCTGGTGGAACTATATTAAATAGTAAAATCATATGTAAATAACTGGTGACATACTGTACCTTATTTGTATCCGATGCTCGTTTTTGCACACTATATACTTTTTTCATCATTTTTTTAAAATCACCTAAGTTGTTTTGAACTATTTCCACTACTTTGTTTTCAATATCCGATAACAACAATGGACCTGATGATGCTAATTGTTCTTTTGAAGATTCTTGATCAGGCTTGTTTTTTTTATTTTGATTCCACATTGGAATTATGAACTCGTTCTAAATTAAAAATATTAAATCTTTCTAGACTTTTATATCCTGAAAGAAATTCACATTTATAACCCAAGTGCAAGACTTCAGAAAATCAAACACAGTTTTCTTCTCTGTTTTCTAAAGTCCCAAGGTGAATGACATGTGCTTCTGTTCTGATGAGGATACAACCGATTTTTATTGATTCAATACAAAAGATACAACAAGTGAATTTATAATTAATTTTAATAAACNGTGGGTGTGGGTATGAGTGAGGGGAAGATTAATACCCACACCCGCAAAGATCTACTTGGAAAGGTCTATCAGTGCGTTGGAACGGTCTTCTAGGAAAATCGCGCCGGGGTGTGGCAGAACCTGAGAAATTCGGGCCTGGATTGGCGAGTTTCCTAGGGTCCAGAGCATGATATCGAACTTAAATGGTGTCCATTAGATAGAGTGCGTCAAGATCTACTTGAAAAGTTTTATCATTACGCTGGAATGATTTTCTGAGCGAATCGCAACAGGCCCTACGGAATTCCGTGGTATTTTGGTGCATTTTTGTGTAGTTTTAGGTGGTTTTCTGGTCTCAGGAAGAATTTAGTTTGCAGAGGATAGTCGGGATGGATGGAACTTGCAAAAATCTACTTGGAAAGGTGTTTATCTCGGTTAGAAAGGTGTTTGGGGTGAATCCATTCTGGAAAAACTCGAATCCTGACCTAAGATATTCTACGTGTGGTACTTTTGGTCACTAGTGTATTCCATAACACAGTAAGAAAGGTGTTAGCGATATCCTTGAAGGATTAAAATGTGAACCACGATGAATCTGCTTATATTGTAAATGAAGGGATTCAGTAACATATCTATCAGTTTTTGAAATATTAGATACTGTTACAGTGACCGCTGAAACAGAACGAAAAACATGTATCTTAAGTTCCGTCGTTTTTTAAAAAAATTTAATAATAAACCTCAGTGTCGCGGTTATTGCTGTCACGATCTGTAACGGTTTCGATAGTAATGTCGGCTATGATCCGAGGGGAGTAGACCTAAATTTCTACTCTTATACTTCAACACTCTTTTTAGATCGTGTTTCAAAAAACATTTTCAAGAAATCACACCATTCTTCGATTCAAACTAGCCTAATCTTTTGGCGGATCCGCCGTCAGATTTTTCTGCTGAAAATCTTACACGTTAGGAAAGATTGCATCAGTACATCATAGATTTGTTTGCAAATTTGATTCTGATTGGTGGATTTTCATTTGGATTCTCTATTATGACTGATCAGTTTCACTACATCCACTATCCTAGTTGGCCGACTTCTTGGTTTCCTCCTGAGATTAATCCGTAATTTTTCCTCGTCAATTCGATTAACAGTGAGGACAAACCGACCAATCAGGTTTTATTCACTCACTAGGCGTTATCGTTTAAACGTACTCTCAAGTCGTAAACAAGTGAGCATTTCGAGAAGTTGCCTCCTCAGTTTAGTAAAGTTTGCACCTTTATCCTACTATAAATACCATTGTAAAAAAGTTTTCCCCTTTTCTAGACGTTCTTTCTGTATGATTCCGTAAGTTATTCATATAGTATGTCGAACTATATGATGGGATTGGTGAATATGTTGGGAGAAGACCGCTATTTGAAATAGGAGACTTATTGAAGATTATTAGAAGAAGAAGAGTGGAGGAGACTGAACGTTTATCCTTGCAACAGTTGGCATGTTTTTATTGCCGAGAGTGGAGCATTTGGAGAGATGCAAGAAGTGTTGATTTTTCCGAATGGTAGTGATGCCAGTTTTAGGAATCTTCAAAATGATCAGGGTTATAGGCGCGACCGTAAGGGTGACTGGAAGCCCAGTTTGCAATGACTAGTTTTTCTTTTACCAAAGGTTTGATTGTCTTTTCATAGTCTGTTATATTCGCCCTTGGACAACCGGATAAATACTACTTTGGCTGAAAAGAAAATTATCGAAAAAGTAATGGAAAAGATGTCGAAGGATAAAGATGTAGAGTCAAAACTCGAAACTAACAATCTTGCAGATAGGCATGCTGAAAAAGATGTCGATAGATAAATATGGTGAAGCGTAAAAA